GACATTGCGATGTGTGTTTACAAGAAGTTGGCCCTCTTTCGGTTATATGCACGCTGGTCTTTTAGCCATTGGCGATACTGCTTGATGCTACCGACTTTCTCGCCGTAGTAGTCTGGGACGGGGTTGCTGAAGCTTTGTGAGCTGGGGTCCACACGGTTCTTGCGGATGTGGTTGAAGAAATCCTTTTCCCGCTGTGGGAACCAGTTGGTTCGAATTAGCTTTGTTCTTACGGCAGGCAGAATTAGAGGACAGCGGGGATTTTAATAGCTCATACCTCAATCATTCTTGGAACGACGTTGCGGTTCATGGCCTTGAACATTAGACCTCCAATAATGGGCCCACATAACCACCCGAGAGCTCCACATCCAGCGATAGCGAGGCCAAACAGAGTGAGGAGGTCCATGCCGAATAGACTTGTTGGTAGGAGATCGACCTCCCTGTTTCCTAAAAAGCCAGCAGCAACAGCCGTGGCTGTAAGGCCAGTGAAAATTGAGCTAAGAAGGTTGTAACGTCTACGGGTTCGGCGGAGCTGGAAGAAGTCCTCCCATGGCAGAGGGTTTGAAGTTTGTCGTGCAGTTTGGGCGGAGGCCGCTGCCTGAGTGGATGCTGTACGGAAAGTCGATCGTACTGTGTCTGCGGTGGGGAATTGCTTTCGGAATGCAGTCGGGGCCTTAAATGAGGCGGTGACGGAGGGTTTTGAGGTAGCTATCGATCGCGCTAATGAAGGTATTCTGGCAGCCTGCCCTAATCTACAGCCCGAGGACCGGAGTGTGGGAGTGAGGAATAGCATGCTTCTAGAGGATTGCGATGGGTTCGCGATGTTTTGGGGGTTCGACTATATGGTGATCCGGGTGCGTGAGTAGTGTGGTGTGTAGCTGTTAAGGTCGTCAATTGCTCTATGCTTAGCCGTGATGTGACGAAATTTGGAGTGGGAGCTGGTGGGATGAGTTTGAGCCGCTAGGGTGGGGGTGAATGTGGCTTGGCACGGGAAGCGAAGCATCGGGTGTTGTTTCCTCGAGACGCTTTGTTCTCTTGGCACGGCATGCCGTGGGTGCGAGATGCATAATTGTGCCACTGAGCTGTTCTTAGATGCCTGAACTAAAACTATTAAGTTTAAAAAATCAAACCTAGAGGTTTGTTGAAATTAAAAGTGAATCCTATTGTAAATAAGAAATAACAAATGTAAATACTAAGTATACCTTAAATTGGCCTTATAATGAAGCTTTTGGTACTTAAATATAATTTAAGTTTATTAATTAAAGCTACTATTTGGTTTAAAAATAATATTATACATATAATTAAAAGTTGTTAAAAATAGTAAATCTTATCTTAGATAATTACTTATTTGTAAAAGCATTTTATCATAAAAATAAATTACTTTAAAGTAAAAGAGCCTTTAATGTTAGATAAAATTTCAAGAAATACTTTATTACTTTATAAACAATTTAATATTATACTACCAATTACTAGCTGTTTACTATACAGGATATTTAATTGCTATTATATTTAATTATATTCCTTTTTATTATCTCTTAAATTTGTAGGATATGCAGCCAAGCGGATTCTCTTAATTTCTATGTTAAAGTCATAGTACTTTTGATAGCAATAGTAGGCAGAGTCTGCTTGAAAGCAAGTCTTACCAATCCAAGATATATCCATCAAGTATACTTTGCTATTATCAAAGCTCATTACATAAACACTGCTGACTAATACAATATAATCTATCATATATTACTTAAGTAAATCCTTTACCAAGCTGCATTTATTCTTTTGCTTTCTTATAACTATCTTTCTTTTCCTATCTTTCTCCTATTCTATTTTCTATTCCCTCAGCTATTGTATAGCTTATAAGGCAGTTTAATTCTCCCTTTATATTTGTAAAGCTGGCTTCTGCTAGTGTTTACTGTGTATAGGCCTAATAAGTAGCTACCCTGGGCCAGCATCTGCTGGGCATGGTGGTGATAAGTTGACATGGCACCACTAGCAAGCCAAATGTCGAGCCCTGTCGCCGCCACGCGAACGGCTGCCACCCCTCCGTCATCAAAGCCAACCACCACGCCCGCACAGGTCCCTCTCGCGCGCCCTCGATCTCAGAGCCTCGAACTCGCTTCGTCAACGTCATTACCGGAGCGTGATGAGTCCCCACCGCGGCTGGCAGTGGAACCGCCATCCCCGCCACGACCAATGCCACTGCCACTCCAGCAGGGAGACGCGGATAGCCACACCAGCCAGCCCTCCTCAGCCCCATCTTCGACCTTCAGCATCAATGTTCCTCCGCCACCGGTGCCTGTCCCGCGGCTTCTACTGCATTCCATTGTGGTCCCGAGTGTGAATGGTAAACTGACCCTCTGCATCTCCGAGGCCGCCCTTCTGACACCCAGCCCAATGCAGTTGACCCACACGAAGAGTTTCTCATCAATCCCGCCGAATTCAGGGTTCAGTCCGTGTCTAGAATCACGGCTCCAGCTGGGCGGGTCGTATATGAGGTGGTTTTCCAAGATGGCCACTCTGCAGAGGTGAGTAATCCTCCGGCAATCCTCGTGTTTGTACGTGTCGAGCTAATCAGTTGCATAGATTCCAGTGGCAGATATATACGACTACGTGTCAGAGGATGAGATTGAACGGCTAGAGAATAAATACTTCGAGGACAACCGAAATCCAGAGACAATCTACGATTTTGACCCGCAATATCCCGGAGGTGAGCCTTCTGGTGGAACATATGCGTCTGAGGGTGGATATCTCAGTGGGCGGAGACGGAGGAGGGTTTCACGGCAGCGATTGGTTCCGACAGAGAAACCAGAACGTGTGAAAACGAGACCGACTGCCCAGCCCACCGCAAGGCGTGGTAGAGGAGGACGACCTCGCGGCTCCAGCGGCAGCGGCAGTAGGCGTCCAGCGAACCGGAATAACTCTCGGCGGGGATTACTTGCGGCTTCGCATGTGGAGGTGGATGATGAGGGGGATAATTCCAGTGCAATGGATGATGGTCCAGTTGAGAATGCTCTTGGTGCAAATCTGGTTCAAGATCTTCAAACAATACCTGATTCAGACGACGAAGCCACAGAGTCCGAAGACGACCATTTGGCCCCACCAGCAATCACAACGCACAATAATGTCACGGATGATGATATGACAGAAAGTGACGATCTTACACAGCTGAAATCAGCTAAACAAGGAATTTCGATCACATTATCACTCAAACGAAAATCTCCACCTTCTCCAGACACATCCTTTCAACCACCACAACAATCAAAGCCCTTCTCAGGATCCAAATCAGCATCTACTAGCAATGGAAAATCCAAACCAATGGTACAACTACCCATAACTTCCATCTTTCGAAAAAAGGTGTTACCACACGCACCTGTGAACAGAAAGCCGAACATGGAACGTTTTCTCAATGCTGCGAAGGCCCATTCACAATCTATGGAGGTATCCGCCGCAAGTGCTCCAAGAGCAGCTGCTTTCATAAATTCTGTCCTGGCATCCCGTCAAGAAAATACATCCAACGACCTGAATTCCATAACTGCCGCAAATCAAAGCCCTAAATCAAAATCCGAGACAACACCCTCACACAACACCCACAAAACCCCATCTCGGCCCTCAACGGCAACTTCTAGCAAGAGCAAGGACAGCACATCTAAAGATCGAGCTCCATCTCTCGCAGAAATCTTAGATTCAATCAAAGCCGGGAAGAGGTTAAAACAGGGTCCATCATCGGAAGGAGAGACTGCATCTCTGCAAGAGATGAATACCACCCCCACCCCCACGAGGCCAACCCCTAAGGTACTTGGATTCACACCAATCAATTCGGCAATGTTTTATTCCAAGAATCCAACCATATTGAAATCTCCGGATCCCGGACCAACCGCGACATCCACGACAGTAAAGAAAAGCAATTCGGTTCAGCAGCCGAAATTGAAAAATATACGCACCGCACCAACTAAACCTCCTCCAAAACCCAAATCGATCCGAACACCTCCGGTTCCTCAGGCACAGTCAAAATCAAAATCAAGCTCAAGATCAGCTACCCCTCGAGTAGATCTGACCACAAGCTTAAAATCGAAACTCTCAGGCCCGCCAAAAGCCGCCTCAACGACATCATCCGCTTCCACATCCTCCTCATCATCGAGGTCATCGAGGCGGAAGCCGAAGAAGTCCTCAGTCACGGATGAGGACATGCCTGATGCCGCTTCTCCACTTCTTCTTTCGTCTGATGACCAAGCAGAGACGGACACTAATAATTCCCTCTCAATAATGGATGATAAGAGAAACTATCTTGCAGATGAGGAATACATCGTCGAGCAAATCCTGACGTTCAAGCGGGAAGGAGGCCAGAAGCTGTATCTCGTCAAGTGGGAGGGGTATCCTGTTGCTGACGCGACGTGGGAGCCTGTGGAAAATTTGGAGGGGAGTCTGGGCTTGGTGGAGGAGTTTGAGAGGACGAGGTTACGGGGTGGGTGAATATGAATTTGAATTTGAATTTGCATATGCAATCACCGAGATGTTTCTTTTAAAGGGTGTTTGTGAATATATAGCTATAGTGGATGGTGAAGTGGATAGGAAAGTTGTAAGACGTTGACGGGGGTTGGCGGAGTTGGTGAAGGGGAGGCAGGGTGGTTGTATTATTGTTTTATTTCGCATGTATCTTTCTATTTCTTATTAATCGTGTTTTTTTTGGCCAACAATGTTCGAAGCAAGCAAGATTATCACGAATGGGGATGGGGTTTCCCGGGTACGAGAACAAGATCTCCCTCCCCATCTTCGAATTTGAATCACTCCTATTACAAGCACCCACCTGTATTTAATCCATACATTTTCATGTGCATTTTGATTATACCTCACCGTTACATATATATACACGTCTTGTTACATACATACCTAGGTACTTCACCTTCTTATTTTCATATCCAAATTGTAATTCCACGTTCGCATTCCACATATCTCATCCCACAAGCCACCCGCCCATAACCCCCTTTCCCACCCCACATCCCATAACTCCATCCGCACTGGTGTAACGGCTAGCATAACGCGCTTTCATCTCATGAGTAGAATCAATCCTTCACTTGTAGAGTAGATCCGCGTAGACCGGGGTTCGACTCCCCGGTGCGGAACAATTCTTTTGCTTTTGCTTTTGCTTTACGTTATTAGTCAGTCATACTCATTAATGCAACACATTTTTTTACGGAAAATCCGTGGGAGTGAGGCGCTCGGAGTTGTTTGAGTGTGCGCGTGGGATGTGGCGGTGAGGAGGAGGTGAACCCCGAGGTTTAAATGGTAGTTTCAATTATTTGGCAGTATGTTTTCATCACCGTAACAAAGTAATGTGCAAAGACTTGTAAACATTAGGCATCTTTTTTCCACTGGTATATCGTAAAATCTGAAGGCATCATTGTGTCCAAGACCAATCTAAATCTCCCTTCCAAGTTCAGGGTAAACTTGCAAAATCAACCAACGTTCGTATGTCTATCTGCCTTCCATGCATGCACCCCCTGAAAGCCCGAAGCCGCGATACAAATACAATAACAAATCCAACGAGCCTCAAACGTAGAGGTATCCAGGCCACCAGGCATTTCCTGTATGTTATCACCCAGTCCAGCCAGGAAAAATGCGCCAGTGCAGACCCAACACAAAAAAGCAGCGCCACAAAAAAACACAAAGAGAACAAAAAGGCACAAAAAGAACGTGTTCCGCACCGGGGAGTCGAACCCCGGTCTACGCGGATCTATAAGAGACTTCTTGAGAAGAATCTTTACATGAAAGCGCGTTATGCTAGCCGTTACACCAGTGCGGATGTTGTTGTGAGTTGGGATGATTGCTACTAGTTAATAGGAATTTCAAATTCGATGTAAATGTTTATTGCTTCAATATTCCGTACGTCATGCCATTCTCATATCGTCTCGTGCAATCCAGCGAGGAGCAGAAATGTTTGAACTCGAGATAGAAAAAACACAAGTACGCACCAAAAACTCCGAAACATCTAAACAAAGGCAAAAGAAAAAAACGACATGGATTTCATGGAATTCGAGTTAAACATTACATAATGTCTCCCGTACTTTAAACAAATGGAGGCATCAATGACGAATAGCAGGAATTCAAGCCCCCGAGCTCCAAATTATTTGAATCTAGGAGCAACAACCAAATGAAAAGGTAGGTAACTTCCAACTCTACCCACAATCTGCAAGAGCGCCAGCCTTACGATTGCAAAAAAAAAAAAAAAAAATATTCAATTTAATCAAAAAAAAAGAAAAAAAAAAAAAAAAAACCGCTGATGTCCACCTCATGACCAAGAAATCCGAGATCTCACATCCCGCCCAAAAGCCATGACCAGATATACAGATCCGAGAGCCTCCATCATATGAAGTATGTCCAAGGTATTGAACTCAGAGTGGGTGCTGCTGGCGAACAGGAATAAAACAGAACGAAAAGGAATGAACAGAACAGAAAAGAACAGAACGGAAAATAACAGAACAGAAAATAAAATAAAAGAACGTCAACAGAAAAGCAAAGAAATAAAACAGACCAAAAATAACAAAACTAAACAGAAACAAAAAGAAACAGGCGGAACAGAAATTGAGCTACGCTTCCGCATGGGAATGTCTCGAGCTTAACGACCAACATTCAGCCTTCACTCATTCTCATTCTCATAATCATTCGTCAACATCAATCCAAACTGCTCTCCAGCCGGATGATTCTCCACCCCCCTGAATGTCCAAACATGCTTCAAACACTCGTTATGGTACATCGACAGCGGATACATACCCTGTAGCAACAAGTCCCGAGTCATCGTCAACTCACAACACGGCTGCTTCAAAGTACACATGTCGATCCGGCAGTGCTCCATCTCCAACTCCTCCTCCACACTGATCCCATGTTTCCTGGCAGCTTGAATGATGGCGTCGTCCTCAGCTCTGGCGTTCTGCTCAGCAAGGGGACCTTCTCTTTTTCGCCGAAATCCGCAAAAGTAGCAGTCGGGGGTATCGTCCGTACCGCTCGGGTTGCGTGTGAGGCAGGTTATGTACGGGTCTGATGTATGCTCTCGATGGCGCCGTATATACCGGAGTTCGCTCTGCGCCGGGGTGAATTTGAGCCTGCGGATGTTTGGCAAATGGATGATTGATTTCAATCCGAGGTCCTTGTTGACATCATCGATCGTCTTGCCCTTCTCAGGGATGCACCGAAGAATCCGGAGGATAAATTCCCGCAAAGACTGTCCCCAGCTCTCGATCGAGAGGCTTTCGAGATTATGGTGGAGTGGGGGGATTGTGTAGCCATCAATGTGTATGCAAGATATCACTTTGTCATCTTGGACTTGAATCTCCCAGTCCAAAATAAGATCCATCACGAGTAGAAGCCAAATCGCGTCCCTCTTGAAATCCCCCCGGCGAAGAACAAGATTTTTCAGGTTTGGCGCTTTTGAAAGAATATCATAAAGAAGCGAAATGTCGACGGGACCAAAGTATCGGCGAAAATGCGATTTATCATTCCCCCAATGATGTGATATGCTCGACCTGCGTTCCGTGTTTCCTGGTAAAAGATCCAACGTGAGAGAAGTCAAAGTGGTATCATCCTCCCCTTCCGGCACATGCTTGTGACAATCCGAGATTCCCAAGTATCTCACGAGTGGCTGAAGGTTGTACCATCTTGAAATTTTCAACTTCTTCAATGTGTGCCTGGGAATAAATGTCAAAAGCTCGGCATAACCGTTCATGACGGTCAGGCTTTTGAAGTTTTGCAATGCCCCGTGTGCCAATGCTTTGGATAGATGGTCCCCTACATCCATGAGCCATGGTGGAACTGTCGATTCGACATATTTTCCATCCGCAAGTCGCCTGCAGCTATAGAGATCATCCTCAACGGAAGAAAATTCCATGTGGTGGATATTTTGTCCAGCGCCCAAAGATAAGGACGCTTGGATTCCCATGGCAAGCGGAATATAATATTCCATCAACGGAGTATCTATAAATGACATTTCAAAGTTGCCTCGTGCCTCGTCCTGTCGCTGCTGAGCGTTGAAGATATTGACGGTGGTCCCACATGGCTCATAGTTGGAGCGAAACATAGCATCTCGGGGAAACTCCTTAGATGGGAAGTAGTCCAACTTCAATCGTTTCAATTTCGGAAACTGCTCTGAAACTAGTTTTCGCCAGAGACTTGCTCTATCCGTCATATGCCTCCATAAATTGTCTTTCGCCCTCGCATCCATACCAGGCTCTACTCCTGGCACCATCGACCAATTTGGTTCTGGAAGGATGCAAAAACCCCGCGTGAGCTCGTCCAATGACTAGTTGGATTTCAGTTCTTCCAGATTGTCGCATAGTGCAGTCAGATTGACAATCATATTCAGCAAAGCCGTATATATATCGCGTTCATAAGCTGCTGGATCGCTCGGTTCGGCAAGAATTTCATATTCAATATTGTCATCAGCTTTACAAAAGTCTCTCCTCAACGAGGATCGCAACATGAATCCGTCATTGAAAATCAAAGGGAGCTGAATACACCGAACCATCGCTGCGAGGTCGGGCCGGGCAGTTAATGTCCGAATAAGAGGTCGAAATAATCCATGGAATAGATAATTAGTTAGGGGGTTCCACTGAGATTCTCTATAAGCTCCCCAATAGCCGACGTTATCGTGCCAGTAGTGGCCAAGAGAATACCATTCTGGGAAAAAATTGTGATGCTCCCTGTCTGGATTGCAGCAATCTCTCGGCAATCGGATTGGGGCAGGAATATAAAGTGTTTTATATTCGACAGGAAGGCTTTTGTTGTCCTCGTGCCCAGAGCCTTGGTCAATATTTGCACTATTTTCAATATACCTGTATTCAATGACGTACTGCCTGTCGGGATCTGCGGCGTGGAGCTCATCAAACGGGCGCTGATACCATAGCATCTGAGAGGTGCTTTCAATCAATTTCACATCATCTGCACCTGGCACGACTGGCCTCACACCTATCATCGCCGATGTTGAAAATTCCAGTCGACTTGGAGTGTCGGGAGCTCCTTGTGCGAGCACCTCGCTTTTACTGGGGCTGGCCCATAACACTAGATCCACCCACCCTGATTCCGTTCGAAACTTTGTTATCACGGGGCGTGGACAGGTCCTTCCAGGGATGGCTAGCATGTGCAGGTCGAGATCTGTGTACAATAGTTTTGTGGCAACCGCGTTCCACATTTTGTTTACGAGTGACCAGTTCCTCAGGTTAGCCAACGGGCAGAGTGTACAGGTGCGGTCTGCAATCTCTCCGACTCCAGGTTCAACTGGGTATTTCCTAGATGAAGGCGGCCTCGGAAGTGCACGCGTCGGCACAGGCAGGCGGGCGAAGTGCAATATTTCAGCGACGATTTCTGCTGGTAGGTGTGGAGCAAAATTCGGCATGTCTGCTGGCTGTGGTGGTTGCTTGTATAGAATCCGGGTATTGAAACAAACAGGCTGTAGATTTATTGTCTCAGTAAAAGTAGGCCAGAAGTGCGGAGAAGTGCTGACCTTGCAGACCTATCTGCAGAGGAGAGGATAAGTTTTAAATGGCGATTATGTCGATGGTTATCGTCGTAGATGGTGAGACTATGTATGTGGATGAAATGAAAGTGAGGGAGCATGTACTCCGGTACCCCTTCGTCTGTAGGAGAGTGTTGGAGATGGAGGGCGAGGGTCTGGGGACGAGAGTACGGGGCCCAAGAGGACGAGACGAGGTATCCGGAGGAGGGAGGGGGCGACTACCTCATCTGGATAAGCCCCGTGGACTGCTGTTTCCGCTCTAGCTCAGGGCTTTTTGGTGGCGCCAAGGCCAGGCTAGCACCAGGCTCCACCTCGAGTCGAGCCATCACGCGGCACGAGACTACATCACGCTGTCACGAGAGGTCAGTCACTTTAGATTAGTCTCGTTCCACTTTAGATGTGTTCTTTACTCGAGTAGATGTACAAAAGTAGCCTCGATCCATGGGTCTTGGCATGAGACTATCGATCCATTACCCTCACATCTCTTCTAATACCACATTAGGTAAGTATCTACATACTTAAGTATCCCTCACACACCAGGCTACCCTCGCATAGTCTCGTTCCCTCGGCATGAGACTACGTTCCCCCACACCGAGCCCTGTCGTTCATCTCTCAGGTGACCTCCTTTGTCCCCCATATCCCCCCCCCCGTATTCCCAGATTTTCCCATCATCTAATTTTTCTCCCCGATGTTCCATACACAAATCCCTTGCCAATTAATTACCTTCTCCAGAACAATCTTCCTCCACCAGGATAGCCCTTCCCCCATCACGCTCCCTTCTCCAGGTCCCGTTCCTGCTCCCATGTCGGCCGCGTCCGAATCACACTTAGCATTCCCGCAGAACTTGGTCCAACTAAAACCTCGCCCGATGCACTTGCCCCGGCCCCGTGGCCACCAACTGGCTTTCGGGACACCACGATACTCGGCTTTCGACCCCCCGCCCCGGGATATCCGCCATTGCTGCCACGCACAGACGCCCACCCCCTGTGAATAGGAAGCGGATCCCCCCAAGTAGACTCCCGAGCAGGTAACGAGGCTACTCGAGTAGGACCCGGGAATTGCTCATCCCCTCCAATTGCAATGGCCACATGGCTTGAGGTGGGCACATCTCTCGAAGGGGAGCCTGGTTTTACGAGGCTAGGCGCATCGCTCGATGGGGGGGATGGGTTTACAAGGATTGGCACCTCCGGTACGAGACGAACAACCTCCAATTTGTTTCCCGCCTCGCCCCTCTCGTGCTGCCCCTCCTGTTCTTCCGCCCTCTCCTCCTCGCCCTCCTCCTCCTCCTCTTCATCATC